ATTCTCCCCCCTGACAGGTACCTTGTTCCTTCATCTCATCTGCTCAGTTGCTGTCTTGTCTTCTGAGCTTGTTTTCTGCTCCACTTCCCTCTCAGCAGCCTTTAGCTCTTCGAGCCTGAAGGATGAAAAACATCCTTCAATGCTTATTTTGACTGATTATAAGTAAGTGTATTTGGTTCAAAAAGAAAAAAACCAAAAACGCAAGAAAAAAAAACATGAATAAAGCAAGAGCTTTGGCCATGGTTAGTTATTTGTCAAAACCTGCATTAGTTTAGTTTAACAGTCCATGCTAGTTTTTTGTTGTATTTTATTTTGCAACCAGAACTACATCCAACTCCTTTTATAAAAATTGTTTTGTAGTATAGCGTGACTGATTCTTATGAACTCATCTGGTGCACACTGATAATGTTGCTTATTGTTTTGCATTTTGAGCAATTTGGTAGGAAAAGGTGAAAGAACAATGTGCACTCATCATATTTGACATCATATTTGTCTTTTAATGGTTCATTCACAGCAAACATGAATGTCTCACCCTAAACAAATTATTTGCATGTTATCCCTACTGTATATAGAGGCCGGCTCAGGAGTGCTGTGAGGTGGTGCACTATAAAGGCTACAATTCTAGCAAGGCAAAAGGGTATTTGGTGAATACAGTGATGCAAGAGCGTCCATACAAAGTAAAGCGTCCATGTAAAGTAAAGCGTCCATGTAAAGTAAAGTAAAGAAAGTGAAATTTGTAGGAGTTGAAAATTTGAGAGAATATTTGTGTTGCAAAAAACAATCAATGCTAAGATATGGCTATGATTTAGGTTGCATGAGTGCCGTGGAGATAATCTTTTTTTAATAAAAATGATAGATATAATATTAATGTTGACAAAGTATAAGATAGAGGATGGTCTATAGAGGTTTTTAGGTGGTTTAAAAAAATGGTGGTCAGAGACCTGGGATCAAAGCCTTGCCATGGCACCCCTTATAGATTCCAATGGATATGTTTGTATTACTGCCCTTGCAATCATATGTTATATCCAAGCACCAGGCAGCCATGTTATTGTTAATACAGGATGTAGGTGTTGTTCTTAAAGGAATAGTACACCCAAAACATGATTAGCCTTCATTTTCTACTCACCCCCATGCTGAACAACACTCTGATGATGAGATCTGGGAGGCTTCTTGCTGTCTGCTGACATTCAAATAATGGAGGTCTATGCTCTAAAAACATTCTAAATAACTTTGTTTCGAGTAAATTCTTGATGCTACCCACTCAGGACACTTGGAATACATT